TATATGTATACTGACATGGTCAACATGGTGGATTATTCCTACATCTTTTATCTATTTCTTTATATCTCAACAACGATTGGATTATTTTGACTCCTGGTGGGTTTGCAGGGGTCGTCTTGAATTGAACTAAGCAACTATATTATCTTATGTCCAGTGGTTCTTTTTATCTTAGCCAACAACATTTCTACATATGGTATGTTAGGAATTTGCACCTTTTGAAGATATCATCCTGTTGATTAGAAACAACCCTTTAGTTGTATATTCATACATTATGATGCAAAAGTGATTACATATGTGTTATAAGATCAAACAACATGATCTCAAGCCTTTAAAAGAAGCATCAATACATATCATTATTTAAGAACATGGCATTTTGTTGAAGTAATTGGAAGATTGAAAAAGGTTTTATTCTTTTTCTAATGGATACACACAAATCTTGGAAGATTTACTATTTGGCACATACAAGTTGTATGAACAAACTGAAAGTTCAGATAGCTTTCAAGGTTCGTAAGGAACTAAATGGGAAGAGTTGAGGAACCTGTTTAACCATATTTGTTAATCGATGTTAGATCTTTTGATGGTTAAGCTTGTAAACATGTCGATTCATTAAGAACTGAACCTCGACTTTATTACTTTGCGTCAAAAGAAGGTAAGAATTAAAATGCGGTAAGCACTTACCCGATCAATTTACCTTATCGATTAAACGCCACGAATTGAGAACTTTTACCTGGTAAGAGCGATAAATAAGAGCGGCGACGCTTACACGGTAAGCACTTACCGGCTTTATGACATCTTGAAAGAATTTGATATTTCGAAATTGAAAGAATTTGATATTTCGAAATTGAATAAATTTTAATGAACTTTTACATCCCGCCGCATTGCGCGGGTATACAACTAGTAGTAGAGATATAGATATAACCATAGCTGTCAAAGAAATCAGAGTGTTTCAAAAACCGATTACAAAAAAGAGCCCATGAAATTTGGACTTGGGTTTCAAATCCAGGCCCACATGATCAACACAACTTAAACCCTAACATCATAACCCTAGTTCCATACACACATCCACTCCATCTGATTGGAGATCGGAGAGAAGTGAGGCGTAAGAGAGAGAGCGATAGAGGTGAGAAAATGGTGTCGGGATCGGGAATTTGCGCACGGGAGGTGGTGGTGGACGCTCGCCACCACATGCTTGGTCGATTATCATCCATTTTGGCCAAGGAACTACTCAATGGCCAGAGAGTCACCGTCGTTCGTTGCGAAGAGATCTGCCTATCAGGCGGCCTGGTTCGTCAGAAAATGAAGTACCTTCGGTTTCTTCGTAAGCGTATGAACACCAAGCCGTCTCACGGTCCTATTCATTTTCGTGCCCCTTCCAAGATCTTGTGGCGTACCATCCGAGGGTAAACCATTGCATCCATATGCATATATATATATATATATACACACACACACGTATACTTACACATCCTTGTGTGTATGCTGCATTCAGTTTATGTTCAACATTCACAAAAAAAACATTACGAAAAAAATTCGCGTATACACATGGTTGCTCTCTGAATTACAGAACACGATGAACGGGTATTACGATCCAAATTTTAGATGAACATCAACGTTTTGCAGGCATATAAGCTTTGTTGTGATTTATTGATTAGAAGAATCGCTGTATCTGGAACAATAAACGATATATGGTCTTTGTCAATGTTTGGGGTTGTATTATGAAGTTAAAATTGTGGTAATTGTATGAAATTGGATTAGTTGTTTTATCAATTTGATTAAATTTGGCAGTAACTGGCACTGTATTTGCGTGTGATTTGATCGGGAGTTGCTATTCGGGTCTGTTTGATGTTTGTAAATTGATCTGGATCAAAGAAATAGACGTGTTTACAGTTGTGGAGGTCATTGGTTCTATTGGTTAGGATTAGATTAGAGCAACTCCATTCGTACTCTAAAATAGAGTTTTGCTTAACTCCAACCAGCCTGCAACAAGAACTTAATTTTGGCGACGCAGGCCTCCTGTTCAAACGGCATAAATGCTGTGTGCTTGGAGATGCGTTGATTTTTGGTGTCCATTCCCCACCGATTTGCAGTTCTTTTTAGTGCTAGAGCTGGAGTTGCTTTTATGGGCCAAATTCACAAGTGATTGGCAACCAAGCAGCATCATTTGTTGTTGCCTATTAATTGTCTGATCTGTTTGCTACTGAACTTCAGGGAATTTATATCAGCAATTTGATTTGTTTGTTATCTCTCTCTAAGGCATCTAATTGCATCCACATATGTTGTATCGATTTGTCACTTTAATTGTTTGAGCTGCTGTTTGTGTTTGCAGGATGATCCCACACAAGACTAAGCGTGGTGCTGCTGCACTTGCAAGGTTGAAGGTTTACGAAGGGGTTCCCACTCCTTACAACAGGAAGAAGAGGATGGTTATCCCTGATGCTCTCAAGTTAGTCTATATCCTTTCTTTCAGCACTTTTATGCTATTTTTGGGTTTTTTGATTAGGAATGCTTTATTGTTTGCTTGTTTAATATGATGTGTAATTGCAATACTTTTGTCAATAACAATGTAGGGTTTTGAGGCTTACAGCTGGACACAAGTATTGCTTGCTCGGCCAATTATCATCTGAGGTTGGCTGGAATCACTATGAAACCATCAAGGTAAACATATGTGCTCCCTTATCACTAGCTTTGTTATGGCATTTGCTTATTGTCATATGTTTTTCGACTTTATTGAAGTTTCTCTTCATATTTCGATAATGTATGAAGTATGAAAGCTCTTATAAAAGGGCTTATTCTTCTTGGTAAAATCGTTAAGTTTTTTGGTGGTGTTTTGCATGTTTTAAATTTTGAATGTGATTACTGATTAAATCTTGCACAACTGATTAAAAGTCGAACAAGAATTTGGTCACTCATTCGACTTTTTTATTCTATGTTTTCCTTCATAGTATGAAGGTTAGTGTTCCAAAAGAGATCACATTTTTTTACCACACAAACACCAAACATATCGTCTGTAACAACTTTCCCACCAACCTCATAGGGTTAGCTGAACTGACAATAAGGCTTGGATCGTTGGGGTTCCGCCTAAGAGGTCACCAGTCCCACAAGGCCACTCCTGCAAGGCCACTGGCGATTTTGCTGTCTGTTCTCTAGGGCCTTGAGGTGCGCATGGGCTGGCTTGTTGGACCCACGGTTAACAAAAAAACAACCCATCCCACATGGATAGGAAAGTAGATTTGTGAACCCTCAAAGTTGTGTCTTATCAATAACTTTGACTATGGTTTTACGTTGAATTACAGGATCTTGAGAAGAAGAGGAAAGAAAAGAGTCAAGTGGTGTATGAAAGGAAGAAGCAACTTAACAAACTGCGGGCGAAAGCAGAGAAGGTTGCAGAGGAAAAACTTGGGGCACAACTCGACATCCTTGCTCCTGTTACCTACTAAACTTCAGGCTTTTAAGATAGTTTTTCTTGGTAGGATTTTTGTTTTGAAATATCTAAGAGTTTTTATTGTCTTAAATTTATATGTTAACAATCAGAAATCTGTGCTTTGCTTCTATTTATTTCTGTCATGTCATTTACATGGTATTTCACTTTAAACCAAAATGCAATCCCATGTTTGTGGGATTTCTATAATATCTTTATTAATTTTTTAAATTATAATTAAATAAATATTTTTGTAATAAAATAATATATGATTATTAAAAATGTTATCAAAATAAGAAGTAATTTTAATTTTATACCTTTTTTATATTATTATTATTTATTAAAATATTTAACAAGTTACATGAATTAACAAAGCTATATTGGATTGTTTTGGAAGAGAATTATGTTTTTATTTATTTTGTGATTATATTGTTTGAGGAGCTGTTTATTAAACATTTACCCGGGGAAGTGCTTATCAAGTCACATTATTTCATGGGATGAATATGGTAAGGACCAAGAATCTTGTTCGGTAAGAACGAGACAAGGATCAAGAGCCTTACCTGGTAAGTGAGGGCAATGACTCTTACCATGGTAAGCGCTTACTGGGTAAATTGTTACATGCGACGTCGTTTTGGTGAACTAAAATTATACTGAGTGAGTAAATTGTAGTGTTAAATCTTACCAGTAAACACTTACTAGGTAACTTTTTAGTAAACGGTCCCGAAGTTTCATCTTGTTCCATGGGTTGGGGGTGGAACTTGTCTGTTTCATATAAAAGTTTTGTTGAATGTGGAACATTGATTTCTGTTCTATTTTGTCATATCCAGTGTACCAAATGTATTTTAAAAGATCATGGGTTTTGAACCAAATACACGATATTAAATGCCACATAAAATCTTACAAACCAAATGGGTCGTAAACCTAACAATAGGTTGGAAAGGAATGCATCCAAGTCCCCAAAATCTCTATGAAATTCGAACAAACAAACCTGAATTTCGAATGCTTTTTGAATTTGAGAACTTTAAATTGGACACAAGACATTTTAAGAAGAAAAGGAAACCACACGAGACATTTTGGTGCTTGGGTTTTGTATACCATTTTGCTCTCTTAATTTTGTGAAATAGATTCTTATTCTTTAAAAATGTAACTTGTAACCTGAATAGGAGGTAAACTAAAACAAAGATGACATATGTTAATAAGTTATTATGCGAAAAATGATAATTGATAAAATGATTATTACATAAGGTTAGTCAAATAATTATAATTATGCCACCCAGCGAAGCAAAAAGTCGGATAATCAGTTTAAAAGGTAACTGATTACTCATTGTTTTTTTTTTTGAATTATATAATATTTATATACGGCAAATGCAAGAAATAAATTCACACACCTTCTTCGCCTTTGGTGAGGTTTGAATCTCTGACCTCCTAGGAAACCTAGAGCTACGATATCGCTAGGTCAAAAATCCTTTGATTGATTACTCATTGTTGTAATAGGTAAACTTTTCAAACTACGTCTTAATAAAAAGTAATTTAAAAATACAATCCGTTAATGATAAAAAAATAAAATCACTAGAAAATACGTTGCTATTTCTTGCATATCGGCACTAAAGATTACAAGGGACAAATATGCTTATCTATACTATATTATAAAGTATTTGACAAAAACTCTTAAAAACTATTTCTTATACATGAATTACTGTTTATTGATTCATATTACTTAAAATTCAAGATTACAAGTAATTTTGCGTAAGTACAACTTATTAAAGTTTCATTTTTAAATTTGTATTATTAACTGCAGATAAACATAATCAAATACATGATAAATATCCATTTTAAACATAAAAAATCTAAAATATAATTAAAATAATAATTGAGGTCTAACAGAACGTTTAATTATAATTTTTATAAAAAATATATTATTAAATCAAAAATAAATTACTTTGTTATTAAATCTTAATTGAATTATAATAAAAAATTGAATTAAAGAACTTAGATCAAATACACGAGAATAGTTAATTTGATACTAATAACGATTTAATTTTTTTCAAAATTTTATGCTATCTTCAAATTTATATTTCATTCAAAAATAAAAACATTATCGATTTCTCAAAACCACATAAAATCGTATTATATCGATAGAGATAAATAATAAAAACTAAACATTAAAATCGAGATTTATCTCAGTACATTGCACGAGTACTCTTTTAATAATAAATAATCATGGAATGCCACACAAAATTCAATAGCACAATTTGCAAACATATCTTATATGATATATTTCTTTACACTTAAATATATTCATATCATACAATTCGAACACCATAATAATCAAATATTTATAATGAATATCATAAATATTATAAATGAATATTCATGATACTTGAAGTCTAAAGTCCGATTTCATTTTTGATTTATAAGAGATGATGTTAAAGTCTAAAATCTGGATTAGTGAGACTGTTTGCTTTCATGTCTGAAGTCTGAAATCTGAATCGGTCAAACTAATGTAAAAATATAAAAGATAAATAGTTTTTGCTAATAAATGTTTTCTAGCCTCCAGAATATAAACCATTTGATAAAGGTCGTATTATGATTAAAATGTATTAAGGGATATGTTTTCCACTTAAAATTTCCAAGAATATTATGAGTTTTTAAGCTCTTATTTAATAAAAAAAAACAAACGCTCTTAATATCCAAACGTCTGAACGAATCAGACTTCAAAGGTATTAAGAGACAATTTTGAAAAACAAACATGCCCAATATTCATATATCCACATACACACTTATGTATACATTTTTTTTTCTATTGATATATTCATGATATTTATAATATTTACGTAGGATTAGGTTTTGGTGAGAAGATAATTTATAATGATAAATATAAGAAAAAATCTCCAACCTTGGATCAATCCTAATTAAATGTCACTATTAATAAAATATACCGTGATATTTTAGATCAATTCTCTTTAAAAACATAATGAACAAATGTTCAGTTTTTGTTAATAAACAGGAACACATAGTAAATTAGGTATGTTTGGTGGTTGGGTGGCGTTGATGATTTCAACAAAAAGCAATGTAATGGGGCAAAAGTAAACAACAATCATATACAAAGAAATTTTGCCGGTGGTTCAAGTATCCTATGCCCCATTAATCCCCTATTTGGTAGTTGTTGAATAATTTGATGTAGAATGATTAAAAGACTCTCATGATATAATGCAAAATGAAATATAATTATTTGGTAATTATCTACAATGAAATTAGGGCGCTGAATGGTTAAGGAAGACCCAAGATACAAAATCATTCAGAGGGATTTAGAACCAGTAAAAGACAAACTTTTTTTCGCCAAACAAGATCAGATGCTGCCTTTTAATGGAACTATTAAGAGCTAAATAAATAACTCTTTAAAATAAAAATATGGACAATAATTTTGGAAAAGGATTGAAAACAAAAGAGAAAGTAACGTTTCTTTGTAATCATAAAAGTGGATGTTAAATTATTGCCATAGTAAAATTCCCCAGCACGCCCTCATAATCACTTTCTCCCCGTTACTCATCAGACATCAACGGCAGAAAGAAAAGCAAAAATATATTTGCAAAAATTACTTGAAATAATACAAAAAGTTAATATATACATTTAAAAAAATCTAAAAATTTATATATCCAATTTCTAGAAGCAATTGTTAAGCTTATTTAATAATATCTTTTTATCTATTAAATTATAAAATTAAATAGCACCTCAAATTATGTTTCTTCGTAACTCTAAATTTGACCAACTCAAACTAAAATGGTATTCGTACAATGCAAGAAGATACATATCGATGTTAATATTTCGTTTATATTCTTATATCTATCAATATCATAATACGAATTTATGTGGTTTTTAAGAAAACGATAATGTTTTTATTTTTGAATAAAATATAAATTTGAAAAAATAACATAATATGATTTTGGGTTTAATAATATAATTTTTTAAGTTTAATAACGAAACAATTTATTTATGGTATAGTAATATAATTTTTTTATAAAGAACATAACTAAATATTCTGTTAGAACTCAATGATTATCCTAATTATATTTTAGATTTTTTATAATTAAAAAGACTTGTTTATCATGTATTTAATTATGTTTATCTACAGTTACTTACACGAATTCAAATATAAAGTTTTAATAAGTTGTCGTTACGCACAATCTACTTGTAATTTAGAATTTTAAGTAATATGCATCAATAAACAATACTTTATGTATAAAAAATGGTTTTTAAGAGTTTTTATCAAATATCTTATAATATTATATCAATTATTGAAGGGTTATTTCCATATTTTTAAAACATACGCTTTGTATCCATGCTTTTACAAGTTTGAATTGAACACACAAATATAACTCAACGGGTCCAACAATTAAATATATATAGTTATTTCATCAGTGAGAATTTTAAATAAGAAGTATAAGTAATTTGAAAACTCTAAAGAGCAATATATGCATTGGTACATTGACAAAGGAACGTGTGAGAAGTAGAGTTAAGTTGAAAAGCGTCTTAAGACCTTTGATAACCTTTAATTTCAACCCAATCGAGTTTGACACGGGAATTGATCCGGTGTATCTCGATGCATTTCATCTTAATGTGCATCCAATAGTGGAGGTTCCTGCTTGCATTTCTCACCTTAACTCTCTTTCTCAACTAAACTCAACCCTTGTAGCATGTCAAATAGCATGTTCATTATTGCATATATACTATACATGTATTGGTGCATAGAGAGAGGATCAGACGAGAACAAAGTGAACATAAAAGAACACAAGAACAACGAAATCACAACGCAATTACATCAACGGGTCCAACACAAGGTTGTTTGAGCAACTTGGCCCACGACCTAAGCCGCAGCCAAGGTCGTGCGCAATCACGTCATTTTACACGTGAATTTAGTGTAAAACCACATGTGATCTGGATATTCTCATGTTCGCTTATTTGATCATTGTTCTCGTTTGAACCGACTCTTGGCGCATCGTGCATATACACATTAAAATACATATAATATACATGCATGAATGCATATGTCAGTTTTCAAAATATTTATCGTTCTCATTTTTTCTCCATAATTTTATTTTTTAAAAGGTAAAGAATATAAAGTGAGGTCATCTATTTCCCTTCAGCATATGGGAAATGGATTAATCCCATGTCTTAAATCCAAACTTGTGGGTTGTCTGATTCAATCTCTAGAAATCTGAATCTCATGGACCTCCATTGGTGTTTCTTCTTTGTTTTCATGTTTATCAGCTACCCCAACCTCATTTTATCTGATCAAAATGGTATATTTTACCATCTTCCATTCAAATATAACTTGTATAAACTGTACCTACTTCTATTTGTCATATGATCATGCAACTTTTCAACAGGTTTTTGGAGTTTATCTTGTGGAGGAGCTACAAATTTTGTCGATTCCGCCAACATTTCATGGGTATCGGACAACGAATATATCACCAAAGGCAACACTACAACAGTTGATTTCAACACCTCTCTTCGGTTTTTCCCAGACCCCGGAAATCGAAAGTGCTATAAGCTACCGATGAACTACACAACATCCTCCTCATCCTTGATCCTTGTTCGAGCCAATTTCGTGTATAAAAACTATGACGGGCTTGAACAACCACCATTATTCTCGGTTTCTCTAGGAACAGCAGTTGCTGCTTTCATCAACCTATCTTTTAAAGATCCGTGGATAGAAGAGTTCATATGGCAACAGGACAACAAAGATACTCTTCCGTTATGCCTAAACTCTATTCCGAATGGTGGGTTTCCCGTCATTTCTTCCATAGAAATTCGACCGATCCCTCAAGGAGGTTACTACAGTGGGATGGATGATTTCACTAACAAGTTGCTTCAAAAGCGCTACCGCATCAACTGTGGTTACACTAATGGATCAATCAGGTATGATCCGCGTCGTGCAGGGTTATTTAGCTAAATGACCTCCTGATAAGTGTTTTTTCAGATCCACGACGTTCTAACATGTTTCTATGTATTCTTGTGTATGGAAGTGACATTCTTTTGTTAAGTAGTAACATTCTCAAACATGTTAGAAGGTCATGGATTTAACAAAAAAACTTGTCAGAAGGTCATGGATTTAACAAAAAAAACTTGTCAGAAGGTCGTGTATTTAACAAAAAAACCTTGTCAAAAAGTCATGGATTTAACAGAAACCTGTCAGAAGGTCGTGGATTTAACATAAACTTGTTAGAAGGTCATGGATTTAACAAAAACCCGTCAGGAAGTCATGGATTTAACAAAAACCCGTCAGGAAGTCATGGATTTAACAAAAACCTATTAGACGGTCATTTAGCCAAAGGAACTGATCTGTGCACTATGCTTATTCGTTCTGCAAGCCCGGGGACACTCTACCCCTTGGGGGTAGGAGTAAGGTCTACATACATGATACATCTTACCCTATCAAAACCCTACCTTAGTGTGGGATTCACTGGGTTAGTTTGGTTTGGTTTGTCCTATGCACTATCCTTATGACTGATCTTAAGTTTTGAATCTTGATCGGTTCCTAAAATGTGGTCTTTTAATTCTAGGTACCCTTTGGATCAATATGATAGGATATGGGATCCTGATCAAGATTTTTCGCCTTTTCATACGTCGACTGGATTCAAGACCCTGGGTACCTTTAATACTTGGGGTCTCAAAGAAAGCCCTCCTCAACCAATTCTTCAAACGGGTAGAGTTTTGGCGAGGAGGGAAGGGTTGAGTTACAATTTCGCCCTCAAGAATCTTGGAGATTATTATGTTGTTCTATATTTTGCCGGGATTCTTCCGGTTTCGCCTACGTTTGATGTCTTGATTAATGGGGACGTTGTGGAATCAAACTATAGTGTAAAAAGCTGGGAAGTTGGTAGCTTATATTTCTTACAGAAAGGAATTAAGAGCTTGAATATTACTTTCAAAGATATTAGCTTCTACCCTATTGTAAATGCAATTGAGGTGTATGAGATCATTAACATACCTCCGGAATCCTCCACGACAGTAGGTTAGCCTCGACTCATAGTAGGAGAATGTATTGTACAACTTTCCAATGCACTTCGTGTATATAATCTACCTTCACCTATGTCCTTATGCAGTTTCAGCTCTTCAAGTTATTCGGCAATCTATGGGCTTGGATCTCGAATGGGAAGATGATCCATGCTCTCCAATGCCCTGGGAACATATACAATGTGAAGGAAGTTCAATCACCTCATTGTATGCAAGAAAATGTGTCAAAACTTTCTGCAAATTTTCAACTTCATTCAAATGTTTCCCCCTTTTTCTCCTAAGATTTTCCTTGACTTGTTTGTAGGGAATTATTTGACATCAACTTGAGGTCAATCAGCCCTACATTCGGCGACCTGTTCGATCTAAAAACATTGTGAGGAACTTAAAAAACAGTATACATGTAATTTGATTTTAGTTTTTTATTTAACTTTGTCATTTCATCATACTGGCAGAGATTTGCATAATACATCACTTGCAGGAGAAATAGAGAACCTGGCCAGCTTAAGGAATCTTGAATATCTGTAATGCTCACTAATCAACTCAGGTTCAGATTCTCTCTTGTTTCCTGAATCCAAGACTAGTACTCAAGAAAATTGTGGCTTACAATTGCAGGAACTTGAGTTTCAATAAGCTAACATCATTTGGCACTGATCTGGACGGCTTAATCAACCTTCGTGTTCTGTAAGTGTCAATCACATCCAAGGGGCAGTTTTGAAGTGTTCTTGTATGATTGTTTATCTAAAGCAACAGTCTCGGTTTTTTTCTTTCTGTAGGGATCTGAAAAATAACAGTTTAGAAGGTTTGGTTCCTGAAAGCTTTGGAGCCATGATGAATCTTCACCTATTGTAAGTTAATCATCATTGTTTTCTTCATAAATCAACTAATTAGAGATCTCCGTTCTGCTAACTTCCATGGTTTACTAGGAGTCTGGAAAACAATCAATTACAAGGCACACTCCCGAAGGAATTGGACAAAGATAGTCTTGAAATAAGGTATGAAGATCTTGGTAATTCTTTCTGCTACTTTGAACCAGTCTGTGGACCCAAGGGTGCATTTGGTTTTGGACACGAACATGATAAAGAAAACTTGTTTGTCCCACGTTCGGTGCGACCAATGTCGGTGACAGAACAAGACTGAGTGGACAAAAATGCATTTTTTTTGTTTCACCAAAATAGGTGTAACAAAAAAAAGGGAGATGTAACAAGCTTGGTAAATTACTTAACTACACATATCAAATTAAAACCTTGCAAAATTCTTTCACCCACCTACCTCACTCTCGGCTCTCACCCATCCAGTCCTGTCTTCTTACCAAATGAACCCTAAGGGTGCTACAGGCATGCCTAAAGTAGGGGTTTGCAGACATCTAGCAACTAGACCTAACACAAAGGTTTCGTGCAGAACCTCAGGGAATCTGTGTCTTAGCTTCTCCATGTCAAAATGCTATGATGCTACAGCCAATGCTACAATTGATGCACCACAAGTCACGGTCTTTAACAAGAAGAAGCAAACACTTCATAGTCATTTAGCAGTTGTCCTTGGTGCAGTTGGAGGAGTACTTCTGGTTCTTATTGTTGTATCTATATTAGTTTTTGTATACATAAGGAGAAAAACACCAGAGTTTAAACACAGAGAAAGGATGAAAGCTGACCTGCAGATGAGGAACTGGAATGCAGCAAAAGCCTTCTCTTACAAAGAAATCAAAGCAGCCACCCGCAACTTCAAGCAGGTTCTAGGCCGTGGTAGCTTTGGATCAGTCTACCTCGGGAAGCTTCCGGATGGAAAACTAGCAGCTATCAAAGTACGGTTTGATAAAACACAGCTTGGGGCCAATTCTTTCATCAATGAGGTTTGTTCATCATCTACACTTCTTTATCGGTTTAGTTAGAGCTACTGCTACAGAAAACTCAGCACAAGGCTAATTCTGACACATTGAAGGACTGATTTCCAGGTATCTCTTCTGTCTTCGATTTGTCACCAAAATCTTGTATCATTGGAAGGATATTGTCACGAACCAAAACAGCAAATATTGGTTTATGAATATTTACCTGGTGGATCATTGGCTGATAATATTTACGGTATGCCAGTCACCTGTCAAGTTTCGCCTATGAATCCTATATTTATGTCATTTTAAGTTGCACCTCTTTCAGGAGCAAACAGCAAAAGAAAAACATTAAGTTGGGTCTGTAGACTCAAGATTGCCATTGATGCTGCAAAAGGTACAAACTTATCATCCAGTAGTGCGATAATGGTCTGTTGTGAACTCTGTAAGCTCGAGGAGAATTGACTTGCAAAACTCATTCTATTGACTCTTATCAAAAGGTTTGGACTACCTGCACAATAGGAGCGAACCACGGATCATCCACCGTGACGTGAAGTCCAGCAATATACTGCTGGATGGAGATTTGAATGCTAAGGTTTGTGACTTTGGCCTATCGAAGCAAGTAACTCAGGCAGACGTGAGTCATGTGACCACTATGGTGAAGGGCACTGCTGGCTACCTTGATCCCGAGTAAGTTCTGTTTCATTGGAAGTCCTCTCAATCAAGTGTGTATAATAACAAGAATGAGACAAATCTATGCAGATACTACGCCACTCAACAATTGACTGAGAAGAGTGATGTTTATAGTTTCGGAGTTGTTCTTTTAGAGCTCATTTGTGGTAGAGAACCATTGAGGCGAACTGGATCACCGGATTCCTTCAACCTGGTTTTATGGGTACCCAAAATTCTTCTCTTCAGCTTCTATTATGCTTACGTGTGTGTTTGGGCATTTGGCTGGTTTTGACAAAATAATTGGGACTTTTGGCAGGCAAAACCGTATCTACAGGCCGGTGCATTTGAGATAGTGGACGAGAGCTTAAAGGAAACATATGACGAGGAGAGCATGAGAAACACAGCTTCAATTGCTTCCAGGTCTGTAGATAGTGATGCATCACAGAGACCTACTATTGCTGAAGTACTTGCTGCGCTTAAAGAAGCCTACAGCATCCAGCTATCGTATCTTGCAACTGCTGGTGCTGGACTTTCCACTTGAGAGGCGAGAACAGACTAAGACAGAAAGATGAATATTGTAGAGTTGTATGTAACAAATACATTGAACATGGATAAGTGGAGAACCATGTGTATTATTTATCGGAAATATATCTTATTAAGCAATGACAATTTTCTTTAAATTCTTCTTTAGATACAGGCATGTTATTTTGAGTAGGAGATTTTATGGGGTCTATAAACTACTTTAAGAGGAACCCTCATGTCAGGTGTTCAAGTTTCACAAGTGACATAATAGACATTTTTGAGCAAAATATACAAAAATGGAGAGAAATCTAATCAACAATATAAAGCATCGGTCTTGCATCTGAGGGATGCAACAGCAAACCCATTAGTCTACTGCCATCTTATATAACTCACATAAGATAAAACTGAATATAGAATTACAAAGGATAAATAGCTCTTGTAGTTTTGCAAAATGAGCTATCTAGCTATACAGCAATTTTTACTATTTTTTCTAGGTTTCTTATCTACGATCTAGACTACATTGCCAAACAGAGATGAACCAACCAATTCTAATAATTGATTATTTGTCACTCTGAAAATAATATATGTTTTAAATAATTTGTGTAATATCTATCTAATCCTCGATACCTCATGAATTGAGCTGAAATAGAAGGGTTAATTAGAGAAGCGACGTCGCAGGTAAAAGAATAATGCTGTTGATGCAGCTACAGCATATGGGAACATCGTCCACATTCCCTGTTCAATTGCAAAAATTATTAGCTTACTTTGTATGGAAAATGACAACATGACCTGGGGTAGCAGATGCATTGAACTCTTACCACTACTGTAGCAACAGTTGCGAGGGCAAATACAGGCCGTTCTCTCAATAAGAAGCCAATTCCGAGCTGAGTTACAGACAAAAATTGGAGGCATCAGATAACCAGCTATAAAGAGGACATCTTCACTATCATTGGGGTTAATATAATAGGAGCATGATGCCTTTATTTGACTCAAGTAATATGAAATAACAGAAAATCTCAGGTTCCTATACATGACATTTCAAGTCCACATAATTATAATGGTAATTTGTTATTGCTAATTAGCTCAGCAGATCATGTTACAGGTCGCACCTGTGCATGCAAAATCCATTAATTAAGGGCGGCTCTATGTTGTACTCACAAGGTGAATGTTAAGTTTACGCTTCTGCCCTATTTCTTGCTCAGTATAAGCTAATTAAAGTTTCAGCTACTGATTATCATTCTATGCAGCTTCAACTTTTAGAATTATGGAGGGAAAAATAGTGGAATATCTAGAAACCAGCCAAGAAAAAGTTGTGCAATTCTTGCTGAAAAATAGTGGAATACTTGTGTAACTATTGCAGGAAAAAATAGTGCCATATATAGAGCCTAATCAAGAAACTTGTATACCCATTGCTAACTCGTTCATAGCTTAATGAAATTCAAGTAGCGGGGACGGTGTTTATGATATTACTTGGAAACACGTGCCAACTATGTGAAAATAGAAGTTCAAGAACCTGAATCGGAAGAGTAATCAAGCCACCACAACAAACACCAGCAAAGAAACACTCGGGGGATATATCCTGTAATTAATGAGAAGCAAGGTTAGCCATAGATATCTGTTGTATTTCAAGAGAAAGGAGCTAGCAATCGAAAATCCAGTTTACATAGTAAACATGTATCGTGATGCGGCATGTATAAGGGCCGAAATAGGAGTCGGCCCTTCATTGCATCAGGTAGTCTATTTCAATTCTTTATAGGAAAAATGGTTACTAATATCATATTCAATTTGTAAATAGAAGTAGGATTTGAATAATTTTCCTTCAGCGCCTTATAAAATCACACTGAAAGAGCATCAATGCTAAATATTTGAAAACAGTATACTGGCACCCTATAAAAACAGATGTTCACTAACCAGTACCCCGGCAAGGAAAGCTGTTGGATTTCTCACTCCTAGAGAAAATCGTTCAACTGCAAATCATAATACAAAGAGTCACCAATCAACGATGATACTGCAATTCATCAACCTCTCTCTTACAAAGAAGAGTTCTTTTTTTTCATGAGAAAAAAACAAAAGCTAACTATACACAACGGTTAATAAGTTAACAACCATCTAACTGCTCAGAAATACAGATATATGAAATGGCTTAATAAGCTCTTTAGAAAGCTATGTTACATAATCAAGAACGAAGGTGTGCCATTAAGTTTTCCACTTTAGTACCACTTAACATAAATCACCGTTGGAATAACATCCAGCAAGTTAACAGCTGTTCAAATGACATAACTGATTTGCTGAATTAAATTATAGCAAATACAAGCAAAAGAATGCATGCACATGGATACAATGTGTAGAATTTCTTACAGATTAGCCTACGCCAACTAGTCTTAAGGGCCGTTTACCGAACGCTTACCGGTATGCACTTATTGACAAGAGCCACCAACCTCGCTTACCTTATGAGTAACACTCTCGGCCATCAAAAATGGATTGTTGGTAAGCGTCCCCGGTAACGCTTACCAAGTAAGATTCTCGGTCCTTGCTATGCCTCTTACCAGGTAAGATTCTCGGTCCTTGCCATGTTCACCCAGTAAGGAAGTGGCACCTTACCCGGTAAGCGTTTGGTAAATACCCCCTTATTTTATGTACACAACGCAGATGCCAGCTGCCATTTGATGACATGCGGAAAAAACCACAAGCTTGTATCAAAATTCTCCGCAAACATGACAACTTCTCAAGTACAATTCTCATTAGAACATGGCAGATCTTGGTACTGGAATAGAGCACTGTTGCCTAAGTGACAGGGTGAATATCATGCCTACATTATATGGATGAGTTGTGCCAAAGGTGCCAGATACCATAGTATCAAGAATAGAAACAGGAAATGCTACGGAGGTTAAGAGTTTTGCTACTCAAGAAGATTTTTTATTTATTTGAATATATTTGAAGTGCATTAAAGCTCCATAGTTCCATCAACTGACTCAGGATCCATTGCATTCGAATTGTATGTTGTAGAATTTTGTTAAATTCCTACTGAAAAATATAAAGCTGATAAAACCAAGTTCATGGGACTCATGGAAACGTGGACATGTATAACTTAAATTACCTTCATCAGATTGATGTAAAGCATGAATGAAAGAAACTTACAAAACATCAGTTAAAGAATATGATGGTCATGTTTATGAGATTTCAAGCAAATAACTGAAATGTAAGCATGTTAATATGAAAAGAATAAATGTGTGCTCTGAACTTACCAAAACCAATGAGATTCCCATATCTTTGAACTATGTGGGTAAGACCAAGTGCTTTGTCTTTGCTAATACCTACCTACAAACATTGTTAAAGTTCAATCATTTCATTTTCGTGGTACATATCAAGTAAATGCATACGGAAGTACAAGAGGTATCTCTGAAGAAACAAACCTTTGAATAAACATCTTCAGATGCGCCAGATTTCTTAAAGAGCTTCCCGAGGTAAAATGGTACCATATCACTAATACAAACTCCCCTGAGGTTTATTTTATAATTATCACGCAAGTTTCGCAAATGAGCACGTGAACTTTTCACTAAGAATATGAATTAGGACAGGTATGATCATTTGCAGAGTAACACCGATATTATCGTGCCCGTAGTGTGGGAAGGTTTAACATTGTAACTTCAATAAAAGATTGAGAAGTCTACAATTTAGTTTTATTTGAACATATATGCACTAACCAGTAAACCCACAAAACAGTAGATAATATGTGTGGAGCATTTCTAGATAATGATTCAACGAAAGACTGCCTCGTCCCATCCAATGACAACATCCGTGATAAGGAGATGCCAACCTAAAATATTCGATATCACATATTTATATACAACAGGGCACACCAAACTGAAACTTTCAAATATGTTTGCATAAATATATAGGAGGAAATCACACACCCATATATTCAGAGCCTCTTCACTTATGAAAAGTCCACATCCAGCAGCCATCAGCAGCCAAAAGTAGATCCATCTGACATGAAAATTTAAGAAATTTTTTATTGAGTTTGTAGTTCAGGTCTTCCAAGGAATATCATCACCAGCAAGAAGTTTTTCTCCTTGACTAAATTAATCACCCTTACACGGAAAAGGTGGAATTCAATTATTCAAAAGCAATAAGACAGTTATCTGATTGAGTCCCATAAAGATTAGAATTAAGTCAAAAGTTGATATTTCCAAGTGCAGAGGGTAACTAGACTTATACCCCGGAGTGTATTCTGGAAGTATGACTCTGTATCCAAAAGCATTGAAAGAAAAACCAACGTTGGGTACGGCAGAGGTAGAAGAGGATGCACCCCCAGCCAGTATTTGAATTCCAGTAGAAGATCCCTGATTGGGCTGCTTGAGACATATAGACAACAGTGTAATAGTCGCAGCTATACCCAGTAGTATTGCTAGTTGTGCCATCAATGAACTGCTTGTACCAGTGGTTTTATTTTCTTGACTCCCAAGTATGCCATCAGTGGTTTCATCTCGTCTCTCAGAGTTATCTATGTATCTTGCAGCATCAGAATATTCCGCATCCTCTCGCTGAAAGCTTCTAATACTAAAGATAGTAAATGAAATGTTAATGTGTATACATGAATACTCAGTAAACTAAGTCGCCGTTTGTGAGAAGTAAAAAGCATCCCATAATAGAATTCCATTTTGCTAAGACTGATTGCTGCCTTAGAACACTTGTGAAATGCAAATACCTACCTACACTGAACGTGAAAAATTATAGGAAAAAAAATCAAGATTTGCAAGCACTTATTTGTAAAAAGCAATTCAGATTACATAGAGATGGAAACATGAAAACTAAGTATGAGAGCGAAGACCCCTTTTGCGATACATTATTATCAACATTCATTGAACTTAACTTGGATTTGAAGATTTATTACTCCCATTGGAATTCATTCATCTTCTTCCTGTTGGAAGAGGGTCAAAAGTTGTACAAGTGGCCATGCACGTAAAAGGCAAATAATGTGACAAATGTGGATCCAAAAAGGAAAATAAATGAAAAAAAAAACAGAAGCTAGTTGATAAATGAATGTATTAGAAAAATTAATATATTTGGCGCATACTAAGCCAGACATTGACTTTGTTGTTAGCTTGGTCATCCAAAAACATGCATAATCCTTTGGAAGAACACATGGAAGTTGTATATAGGATATTACGGTAAGAATCAATTGAAGATATGAGGTCAAAAATTGGACATTGCACCAAAGTATGGTGAAACTTGATTACCAGGAGTAAAAAACAACCATGGCTCAAACTCGAAGTAGTGCTGAAGCTGAACTTTGAGCACTTGATGAGGAGTATCCAAATTAATATTGATCAAACAGCTACTTGCAAAACTAAAACCTCAGAGAATCCATTGAAGTTGTACAATGATAATAATCAACAATATATAGCCCATAATCCTTTTCATTATGATAAAACCAAACATGTGGAAATTGATCACCACCCTATCAAAGAGAATATTGAGGGAAAGGAATCACGTATGTATGTGTACCCAGTGAAGAACAGGCTGATTTATTAACAAGAGGAATTTTGGAGGAGGCCTTTGAAGAATAACTATGCAAGCTGGGCACGTGGAATCTGTATGCTCCAGCCTGAGAGCAGGTGTAGAATATTTTGTACTTGATCAATATTATTCACATAAGAAAACCAAAATCTTCTATTTCCTAATATATTTATTTACCTAACAGAATTAGAAAACTAGTTAATCAATATAGTTTGGAGATTGCTTGTAACATGTACAACTAATAGCAAATTGTATTGTGATGTTGTAATCTGCCTATTTGTATGCCTCTTTTCATAAAGTGCAAGTAAGATCAAATTATTTTGCATATGCATTGCAAGATAAAAACAATGAAACGAGAATGTATTGCTTACACTAAATTTTCATGCTACACGAGTTCAAAAAAAAGATTATGCTACTATTACAAATTTAACAAACAATACATGTGTCACTCTAATGACTCTATCTGATCTTATACTCCTTGTCTCCTTCTTACCGAAGCTAAAAGTGATTCCTCACCTTTAGTTTTCCCTAATTTAACAAACAACACATGTGTCACCTTGTTCAATCTTTTACTCGATTTATAAAAACTAAATGAGATTCTTCCGATTTAGACTTTAGTTTTCCCCAATTAATGATATGTATGACATTTAAGCTTCAGTAATCAAGTAAACAGCTGTATCATGTTCTCATCATTTGTTACTTGTGTGCTTAAACTCAACAACAAATCTACACTATTTAGTTTTCCAGAAAAGAACATAGATCATGATCATCAGTCGAAGCAAATTTGAATAAATGTGGTTAAAAATGTGTTTTAATCAAGTTCCATACAAGATAGACTGATGTTTCTTATCAATTGTATCCAAATGTAATCTTCAAGTACGACTTTAGACCATTTAGAGAACAATGTTTTACAGAAAATTAGGTTTTGAACGAAAATTGAATCAACTCTGAGATGAATTGGAGTAGCAAGTGCACAATGCTAATGCAAATTTTGTTCTCGTTCATCTGTTAAGCGCATACAGAAGCAAATTCCATGCAAATCAAAACTAACATGCTTTGAAAATATAATTTTCACCCAAGTAACAAGACATCGCATAAAACCGAGAACAACGAGAATGCTACAAAACTGAAAGAACTATAACGTCATGAAGAACTATAACCATGTGAATACATAATCTCATGAATAGATAGTTACCAAAAACCCGAACGGTTGAACGAACTTCGCGCATTGTTAAGGCTGAGTTTTCCTCCATGCGACATCATCCTACCACAAACCACACTGAGATTACTGCTTGGACGCTTAGTGAAGCAGAAGTTAGGCGACTGTAAGGTACGGTTGCGATGATGCAAAAAGGAGTTTCCAACTGAAAGAACCACCGCCATTGACAAAGGTGTATGGCTGAGCTCAGGTTGGTGGCCACCGTGAAAGACTTCCGTGAAATTGTGAATTGAGATGACGATTTTGGAGGGGATTTTCGGTAAAATTTAAAGCGTGTGGTTGAGGACTCCTCTTCGGAAGCTTCTGGGCCAGTGTGTGGCCGTTGGGGTTGGGGTCCAAAGATCACACTGGGCTTTTAGTTTTTAATGGTTGTTCGTTGCTGTTCCAAAGTTTGTTGAATCGTTTATCGTTCTTTTGAGCATCTCCAGGATATACTATTTTATATACCTTCTATAAATCAAAAATCAAAAATTAAATATCTTTAAATAAATATTATAAGTAAATTTCGTTTTTGATCCATTTGGTTTGTTGAAATTTGTTATTTTCGTCTATGTGATTTAGAAAATATGGTTTTTGTTTTAATGGTTTATAATTCATTGCATATTTTTGTTTTCATGATTTATAATTTATTGTTATTTCAGTAATTCTTTACTGTTTTGATCCCTTGTACTTAGGCATAGAAATGAGACCCACCCTATTGGGAACCTGGAGTACTGGTCCCGACGGGGATGGAGATTCCTTGCAAAAATGGGAAGCAGGGATGGGGACGGCAATTCCTGAAAGTTAAAAACTGAGGATGAGGACGGGGACGGGGCAGGGTAATGTGGTCCCGCACGTCACGTCCCCGAATATTAAAATATATTGTGTATTTACTACTAAAGATATTATTTATAAATAATTAGATTTAATGTCTTTTAGATTTAGAAATAATATTTTGACATTTCTTCCTATATACAATTTTTCTGAGTTGTCTTACTTTTTTATTAGGTAAAAAAAACGTTGAATGCCGAAAGTGTTTGATTTAACAATTACGTATGATGTGATTTTGTTCACATATGAATACTTGATACTCTTTAAAGCAAATTTTGAAAATATGTGAGATTTAAACATAGATCGTTATCGATCGATTATTTATTGTTTAACATATTAATTTAAAATGTTTTATATTAACAAGGAAAAAGTCCTCGATTTTTCATTGGGGACGAGGATGGTGATGTGATCATATTTTTCGGCGGGGATGGAGATGTGGGTCTTCTGAATATTAAGTTTTATAAAATTATTAAAATTTTGAGATTTTTTTTCTATTTTTTTCTCTATTTTAGCATACACTTTAACATGGTTGTTGGACTAAAAAGAACTTAAAAATCTCAACTTTAATATAGTTGGAGATGCTCTTTTATGTTTGGGATTGGGTTCCTGAATTTTTTTCCCATGAGAACAAAACCTTATCTACTTGAACTGTCTTTTTGTTCAGTATTATTGTTATAACTGAAACTTTAACAAATTTGTGAAAGTGAATGAACATATATAAAAGTTCGTGAAGGTGGGTGAAAATTAAGGGGTTTTTTGGTAGTTGCTGAATGGTTTGGTGTAAAATGGTTAAGTGGTCAGAATGATTAAGAGACTCTCATGATATAATGTAAAATGAAATATAATTGTTTAATAATTATTTACAACGAAATTATGGCGCTAAAGGGTTAAGGGAGGCCTAAGATGTAGAATCATTCAAAGGGTTTTAGAACCATTAAGAGTCAGACTCTTTTTTTTTTTTTTGCCAAACAAGATTCACCTCTTAATGAAACTATTAGGAGGTAAATAAACAACCATAAGGCTAATGAAAGTAAAGGGTTGTTTGTGTACCTCATAGTAGTTCAATTAAGAGGCAGTTTCTAAATCGTTAAGAGGTGAATCTTATTTGGCAAAAAAAAATATGTCTCTCAATGGTTCTAACACCCTCTGAATAATTTTGTACCATGGGTCTCGATTAACCATTCAACGCCCTAATTTCGTTATAAATAATTAATAAACAATTATATTTCATTTTTACACTATATCATGAAAGTCTCTTAGTTATTCTAACCACTTAATCATTCTACACCAAATCATTCAGCAACTGTCAAACAACTCATAAATGAATATAGATGGAAGATAGTTGAAGGTTTCGCATTTTATAGCCGTTAGATCAAAAGATCAACCTATCCTTATGCTCAAAAATGTTATCATCATTCATAGCAAAACTCTTATTGTTATACGATCCTAAGTTTGTACCTATTTTTAAAGTATCAATGACAGTTATTGTTGATTGAGGTAGATGACTGTTATATTTTGTATCTCGTTAAACCCATTACATGACTTGTTTTCGTTCTTTATATATATAATATTTATCGGTGTATTGATCGCTTGCACAATAGCTTGGAGTGTCTTATATCCTGTCCTTGAAATGAAAAAATACAATCGTAAATAGGGATCAAAGTTGTACAAACTAACCATAGTTTAGGACAAAATGTAGTAGGAACTAGGAAGTGGTTGGATTGTCAAATGGCCAAAGTTAGGGGTTCATAAATTTCGATAGCATAAAAATTTGTAAAAAAAAAAGTTTTCATAGAAACAACCGCTTTATTTTTTTTAGAGTAGAGGTTAGCTCTGTTTACGTCTCACCCATCATACCCTACTTTCGAGTGAAATTTCCTGGGTCAATTTGGTTTCGTTTGATTTGATACTTATCCTCTTTATACATGTACAAATCTAAGAGATATTAACCTTCGAGGCTCCTCAATTGTCTGTATATTTTATATGAATGGCTGCGTTTGTAAATAAAACCACCTCCATATGTAATCTGACATAATAAAGAAAACTTGTGTTTACTTTACGAACAATTGAACCCGATCAATAATATCACTTCAATTTAAACTTGTGTAAATAATTAATCCATCCTCTAAATTACAATGATAACAATAATAATAAGCATTTTAACACAAATAATTTGGATGGAGGCCGTAGCTGGGTGCTCGCACATGCAACAGGAAAACTCAATAGTGGTCCAACGACGGGCCAACCTCATCCGCACAAGCGCAACCCGTAACACCTAGCACACACGGATCTTGGGGATTTTTTTCTCCTAGACTGATCCCCATGATCCAAATTGACTCGAACCTCATCTATCGACCCACCACCAATTGACAATAATGGGGGATGATTTTCCACCAATTGGGTCTATTATTCATCGATTTCACCGTTCTTGCATTACAACGTCAATACCGACCATCCTGGACTATTACCACAAGGAACACCTACATATTGGAACTAAGGAGTTATAATTAAATCCCTTTGCTTCAATTTCAAACTAATGCCACTGCTAACGACGTTTTTTGGCCAAATTGGTGGCTAACAACCACCATTAAGAACCATTACATTTATACCATATCAACAGTTTGCGTGGAACTTCAATTTCAAGATAAACAAGGAAACTTGCCTCGAATCAACACTAAATCATATAAACCATAACTTTGTTTCACCGACCGATTTCTCTTCCATCTATCATTTGTTTCTCGTAATATCAAAGGGCTTTTGCTCGAGATAGATGGATGTAACTAATAGCATGAATTTTCCAGTCAATCGGTGCTTAAATGGAGACTAAAATGTGGGCCCAAACCCGGGAAACTCCCGATGATTTCCATGTGACGGTTTGGACCGTTGGCAAAATAGGTCCCTAGACTTTAACCCCTTTGACCTCAATCTTTCCCTTTTAGTGCAACAAAGTCAACAAAAAGGGTGACACATCAAGACATCAACCAATGAACACCAAAGTTTGGCTAACTAACTTTTTAATCAATATCATTAACACTAAGTTTAGCCGAAATGACACAATTAGTGACTAGAGGAAAGTTTAGTTGCAAACTTGATTTATATTGTAAAACCACCGACAACATGCCACGTTATCCCCACTCTTCATGAATAATGAACGTCAATTTTTTACAACATTCATAATGAATGTTACATCATTCATAATGAATGATACATCATTCATGATAAATATATTGGGAATGTCTCAAATGCATAGCACGTTCTCGTTAGTCCCCTAGTTCGCAATGAAAATCATGTTCTCAACCGAACATGCCCCTTGACTCAAACAATTTTTCTGTTTTACATATTCCAACGTTAATTTAAACAAACAATCAAACTAAAATTTAAACAACCTCTATATAAAAGAGTAATTTCTAAAAATAATAATTATAAAATGATAATTTATAAGAAAAATTCATGTGAATCAGTAAGTTTTCATTTATCGGCAATTCTTTTGCACTGTCCATTTTAGGCGTAGCGAATGGTATATAAATGTGTCTGGCTAACCTTATCAGAGGTCGTCAGTTTGAGTTTTACAAGATTATTGAAGTTTTTCTTGCTATTTTTTGTAGAATTCTTGATATTAGTCGAGGTGCATGCAAACTCGTCTGAATAAAGAAATGCTATATAGGTTATGTTTGGCAAATTTGTAATAATATTTTAAAATATAATTGAAACAGATCTCTAATAATATGATATATTAACTAATACAAACAAGACAGTAAAAAGTTAAAAAAAATATAATATACCGATTAAAGTAATTTCAGATTGATTACTATATATATTGTA